CAAACCTCTGAAGAGGATCAAACATGTCAAACATCTGTTTACTGAAATATTTTGCTAACACTCCTTTAAACAAACAAATGCTGCATCACCAAAGAGCTCTACTGAGGTTCCTGTGTTTAAATGAAGCTGAAGATTGACATGAATGTAACGTGGAGTCCTGGTTCAGTGAGCAGCTGCTTCAGATTCACCTGAAGCTCTTTAGATGTCTTCATCATTGTGCAGTCTGTAAAAACTCTGGACTCTAAAACTTTGAAGCTCTAAAACATGTTGAAGTATCGAGCACTGACTCCACATTTAAGCTGCTCTCAAAGAAACTCATCAGAAGGAATTCAAGTCTTCACCCATGTCTGTGTGTGTCCTGTTAGCAAAATAGCTTATAAACCATGGACAGGTTGACTGACACTCTCAGAAAGTAATCGTTTCATGTTCATTAACCTGTTGAGTCAGTCTATTCAAGATGGCCGCCACAGCTAAGTGACCTTAAACACAAATAGTTGTGAATAAATCAGTTCCATGGAGCTGAGATGTTGGTGTGGAAGTAGCTGGGAGTCATTCACAGCACATACTCTGAGTGCTAACAGATCACACAATATTTGTTCTGAAAACTTTGACATTAACTCCTGGAGTCAAGTCATCTCTGTCTGTTAGCAAAATATCTGATTAATTATTCGAGGGATTTTATTGAACCTCTCAAGAAGTGATGATTGGATATTTGTCAACAACTGATGAACTTTTGGAATCCTCTCCATTTTAAACCAACACAGAATTAACTTTAACTCTCTCAATTTGATTAATATTTATGTTTTATTAAATTCTTCATGTACTTTTATGATATTTTATTTTTTATTTCAACCTTTATTTATACAGGCTAGCATCAATGAACCACAGAGACTCATTTACAAGAGGAACTTGTATATTTATCATTTTTACTTATATCAGAGAAGTGCAAATATTTATTTGGAATTGTTCCAGATTCTTTCACAACCTCTTGGATTTTTTTATTGTTTCTTAAAAAAAAAGGTATATATATATATATATATATATATATATATATATAATCATACTGCAACTGATATATGGTAAAATGCTTTTCAGCCAGTTGCAGCTCAACCTCATACTTTTTGTTTCCATTTACATGAATCAGAGTCAGAGTTTCTTTATTGTCATTCGCGCCACATGTGGTTCATGTGGTGTAACAAAATTATATACACAGGGTCCCAGTTACATCCAGCAATAAAATGTAAACGAAAAACAGTAATAACATCTAAGATATGAACTAAGAAATCATCAACTACAAATACACTAAGCACTAGTAGCATAAAAACATTACACCGAACAGCAGCACGAACATGAGTCTGTGTGAGCAGATGAGCACGAATGAACACAGAAACATGAAACAGATCAGCAGCAACATAAAACAGATCAGCAGCAACATGAAACAGATCAGCAGCAACATTATGTGTTTTTTCACACTGATTATTCTGATTAGAGATTCATGAGACAAACAGCCTCTGGGTAGAAGCTGTTCCTCAGTCTAGTGGTTCTACACTTACTGCTCTTTAACCTCCTTCCTGAGGGGAGCAGGGCAAAGGCTGTGTGTGTGCTGGGTGAGTGAGGTCCTTCATGATGCAGGTAGCCCTCTTCCTGAATCTAGAGGTGTAAATGTCTGTGATGGTGGGGAGACTGACTCCAACATCTTCTGTGCGGCCTTCACCACTCTCTGCAAAGCTTTTCTTTCTGCAGCTGTGCAGCCTCCATGCCACATGTTGATGCTGGAGCACAGGATGCTCTCCACTGCACACCTGTAGAAGGAGGTGAGGACTGAGCTTCTCAGACCAGCTCGTCTCAGCCGCCTGAGAAAGTAGAGTCACCGATGAGCTTTCTTGATCAGGCTGGTGGTGTTGCTCCAGCTGAGGTTGTCATTCATGTGTAGACCCAAGTACTTGTAGCTGGAGACCACTTCCACCACAGATCCTACTATGTTTGGGGGGTGTCTCCTTCTGAAATCCACAATCATCTCCTTCATCTTCTTTACTTTGATTTGAAGGTTGTTTTTCTGCACCAGCTCTCCAGATGTTCCACCTCCTGCCTGTAGCTGGACTCATTGTTTTGTGATGTATACCACCACCACTGTATCATCTGCAAACTTTACAATGTGACAGCCTGGATGGGTAGGTGCACATGAGCAGAGTGAACAGAGAGCAGAGTAATATTGTGAATATAAACAAGAGTTTACAGCTTATTTGTTTGAAAGCGTTGAAACATAATACAAAAATGAATCTGCACACTAATGAAGGTGAATCAGTTTAGACCAGGGATACTCACTGCGCGGCTCCTGCTGTCATCTGCAGTGAAGGAAGTAGGAGCATCTTACAGGGACGGTTCTAGGCATGGTTACATGAGGGGGCAGGAGGAATTGTGAAGGGGGCATCTTCATCCGTACACATATTACAGCATACTCATTGATGAGCATGGACTTTGGTATTCATGGTTATCGTTGACTTGTGTCTTCTTCATGGGATTGTGGTAATAAAAGCTGAAATTTTTACACCTGTGAGTCAACATTTTCAACCATGAACACTATGAAGCACAAACAGAGAGTTGCGCAGGCAGGACTCAGGAGGCAGACGTATAAAATAAAATGCTTTTAATAATAATAAATCAAAAGGCTGACATGGCAGCAAACTTACAAAACAGATTCAAGACGAGATCAAAACAGGATCAGACTGGCAGAACAAGACAAGGCAATACCCAACAACAAACTGACACTGACAGGACAAACAGACAGACTTTATATTTACAAACAGGACATGACACAGGTGATGATAATCAGACAATCAAAGCAG